TCCCCTTTCCTAAGGTTGATAAAGGCTGCAGTTCCTTGTGGCCTGACATCCCCTCTGATTGGTCACTGTGGCGGCTTCGGAGCCCAAACCTCAGGTGAGGTTCCCTCTTCTTCTCCCTTTGGTTTTTCTTTTCCCTGGGCCCTCCTCCTCCTCCTCCTCTGAATGAGTGGCTTCCTGCCCTTTAATCTGGAATGTGCACCTCCTGGCAGCTCCCTCATTCTGTGAATGTGTACCTGCGGGCAGCTCCCAGCTTTGCAGCCTGTGGTTCTCCCCATAGAACCCCTAATTCCCAAAACTTCCCAGACCTGCTGTTTTACCCCAAAAAACTCCTTTCACCTTTAGCCTGCCTGCTGCTCTGTGGCCCCTCCAGGGACAGCTCCCACTGTGCCTCTGGGGGCCTCTGCAGTGCAGGGCTGAAGGGTCTGGCCAGTGAGGGGAATGCCACTTCCTATTTTATCATTTTTAAGTGATGGGGTTTTGACTGATGGGTCTCTTACTTTTCAGCATCTCCTGTTCCCGAGTTTCCTAATATATAAAGAGCTAGGGGCCGTCCCAAATGAAACAATGAGACAGGCAACTAAACTACAGACTGTGTGGTTCGACCAGGCCTGCAGGGGGGTTAGTGAGGGATGACCAAATGACTGAACAGCAGGCTGTGTGGGGCGACCATGCTAGCAGGGAGGCAGTTGGGGGTGACCAGGCTAGCAGAGGGGTAGATGTGGGCAACTACGCCAGCAAGGGGGTGGGGGGATAGTTGGGGGTGACTACCCCAGCAGGGGGAACAGTTGGAGACTAACAGGCCTTCGGGGGGTGGGCAATTGGGGGTGACCTGGCCAAAAGGCAGAAGCGGTTAGGGGTGATCAGGCTGGCACTGAGGGCAGTTAGGGACAATGAGGCAGGCAGGCAGGCAGGTGAGCAGTTAGGAGCCAGCGGTCCTGGATTGTGAGAGGGATGTCTGACTCCCAGTTTAGCAAATTATTGAACCCAAGGAGAAGTTGCAGGAATCCCTGGAAAGAAATTTGTGGGTAACCTGGCAACCATTATCTGGGACTGGCTTTTGAAGTTGGGGCAGATTGGTGGGGTCTTCAATAGCTCCTGTTGGTGTCAGAATTGAGTTAAATCAGAGGAAACAAAGTCGGTGTTCCCGAGAACTGGAAACAGGTTGGTGGGGGAAATGGCACACAGCTGGGATGTGGCTGTGAGTGCTGTAGAGGAGAAACAGAATTGGCTTTCCCTTTTCAGGCCCTGAGGAGGCCCCAGAAGAACCAGTGGCCCTGGGTCTGAAAGATGAATCAGGTCAGGCAGCCTGGGGAAGGGCCAGGTGGGGGCTGATGGGGTGTGGGGAGGCCCCAGGGCTGGGTCTCAAAGGAATCCTGGGATAAAGAGTCTGGTAATGGAAGAGCCAGGCACACAGTATGCATTTTATTTTTATTTTGCTCCGAAGTTGACGTTGTTCATTATGAAAATATAAACTGTGTATAGCATGCTGCTTCACACATTCCCAGGAAGGTGGAGCCTTCTCCTTCTGGCCAGGGGCTTGGAAAGGCTTCCTGTCCGTTGTAGGGCAGGTCCTCAGGTTACTCCGGAGATCCATTCCCAAAGCGCCACTTCCGCTATTTGTGTTGCCGTCTTGCATATTTAGAGATCTAAAATAACCACAAAAGAAGGTCTGAAAATCAAATATTTAACTACAAACTGGTTATGGTGGGCAGTCATGTCCTAGGCCGATATTTTCCCTGACAAGTTCAGCTTAGATCTTTCCTGAGCCCATTTGCCTTTTTGCCTCTAAGATAACATATCTGTGAGATGTCTGGGAAACTTGAACTTCCCTTTTTCTGGAGCCTCTGGTGCACAACCAGAAGTGGTGGGCGCCAGGACCTATGCCTCAAATTCCTTCATTATTATGTTAATTGTTCCTGCACTCACCTAAGTATGTATCCATCATTCTACTTTTTATCCAATCCCAGGGGTTTCCCACCGCTTTGCTTTATCCCACCTCCTTAATCCGTCACCAATGAATTTCATGTAACCCACCTATGTCCCTCCTTTGATGGCAATGTATAAATACAAATGTAACCCACCATCCTCTGAAGCATTATCTTAACCCATTGAGGTTCTGCTTCCTGGTATATGTCAACAGTTTGACTCAAATAAACTCACTAAAATTCTTTACAGGTTTCAATGTGTTTTTTTGTTTTTTGTTTTTTTACGTTAACACACCTTATCCCAGAAGATGCTGATGCTGGCTCCTATTAAACCTGCTGCCATCACAGCCATGGATAGCACAAACCCACCGGACCCTCTTCCTGACCTCACAGTGATTGATCCCTATAAGGAGGAAGAAAGGGGAAGGGTGACCTGTGAGCCCAGGCTCACCCCCCAGGATAGAGACAGTGAGGGGACTGTGGGCTCAGGGTCCCAGATGACAGGATGGGTGGAACCAGAGGGAAGAATGGCCCCATCCACTGAGCTGAGGGAGATGCTGGCTCTGCTCCCCCCTCTGTAGTGAGCAACTGGTGGCCTCAGGATGGCCCTTGGCCCTCTGGGCCCTGCCACCTCATAGGTCATGGGGATGGCACTCTCCAACCCCTGGGCTGGAGGGAGAAAGCAAGTGGCCAATGGAATTGCTCACAGGGTGAGCTGGGCTCACTGCAGAGGGTCCTTCAGGCTCTGGAGGAGGTGGCCTTTCTGACACCCCAGCAGGGGATGGAGGCTGAGGGGTCCCTGTGTAACCTGACAATCAGTGGATCCCTGCTGCTGTCACTCCTTGAGCCAATGAAGCAGAGACAGGATGGAATCACTGTGAGCATTAATTCCAATACTGCTGGCAGTGTCAGTGAGCAGCAGGTCATCCACAAATACCTGCTAAACCAGCTGCTTATATTGGGTAAAAGGACAAATATTACATGGGGAAGTAGGCAAGGGAATGCCAAGTGAGCAGTTTTCAGGTAACACAGGCTGGAGATTTGCCAAGGCCTGCGTTATGCACAGGCTGGGGGTCCTCAAAGGCCTGGGGAAATGGGACGGACTCAGGCTCTGGTTTCCACCACCAGGTTGTTAATCTTCCCATGACAATAGGCAGCTCCCTGGTGGGGAGGATGGGCTGCATTTCCAGGTGAGCTCCCAGCCATGTGCCTTCTTTCATCAGAACTAAACAATCATGGTTATCAGAACATGGTTAATAGTTCTTACAATTTCAGTTGGTCCCCAATATTCTATTTGTGCCCCATCACCTGAGAACCCTGGCCTGTCACTTGAGATGCCCCCCCCTACCCCCCACATGGGTCCTGGGGCCTCAGCCCAGGGGGAAGCCCTGGGCCCCTTATAGGCCCTTAGTTGTCCTGGGTGCACCCTGTCCATGGGGAAATGACCAGAGTCCTGTGTTTGGCCCATTAATTGGTGGCTGGGCATGGCCAGGTCTGGCTGAATCTCACCAAATTGCGCAGGAACCTGGTACCTTCTTCTACCACCATCTTCTCAAAAAATCAGAGCTCACACCTGTGGGGAGAACACAACAAGTCACCTTCCCACACACTCCAATTCCCCCAGGACCCCTGGGATCTGCTCCTGCAAGGCAGAAGCCAGGTCCCAACCTCACAGGGACCTGCCTACAGGGGTCACCTGGACAACAGGAGAGCTGAGGGTTAATTGCCCTGGAGCGGGCCCACTCTCTGGGCGTGGAGGGACAGGGCTCTGTCTGTGGAGGCCCAGGGCCTGGCTTTGCCTTGGGCTCAGGAGTCTCCTCTGCAGGCCTGGGGGGAAGCTCACCTCCCACTCCCCCCTTTTGCCTCTGGGCTCCGCAATTGGCTGGGGCTTCCTGTTGTGGGAGACATGCTCTAAGATTCATCTTCATAGGAGGAAACAGCATATGGCCAGTCAGTTACTGAATTTCCCCAGAGCAAGCAGGATGTGGGAGGGGAGGTGGGGAGAGGATATGAGAGCTGTGCTCCTGGCTTGCAGCACATTGTCCAGGAAGATTCGCTAGACAAAGGGAGGTGGAGACAACTAGAAAAGGCCTCAGCCAATGGAAACACACACACACACACACACACACACACACACACACACACACACACACACAAAATACAGAAACCCAATAAGACCTGGGAACCTATGGGATAGAATGCAAACTCCATGTACTCAGCAAAGACCTGAGGAGGGATTTCACACAATGGGATAAACACTGCCTGTGCCAGCTAATTCAGGGGCTGCACCAGCAGACACCCGCTCACCAGAAAGTTTTAAAAGTCCCATTTTCGCCAGACTTCTGTCTCTGAGTCCATTACTGGAATTCAGATGGGTGAGCCTTCCTCACCCGGTCTCCTTACCCACCTTGGGAAAGTGTTTTCTGAGGGAGCTCCTGTGGCCACCGGCCCAGGCTCTGCCCCACCTCCTGCCCATCCCCTTCAGCACCCTCCAGCTGTACCCCCAGATCTTGAAAACTCAGGCTTGGCTCCTGGGTCCCTGGGCCCCTGTCCTCTGCTCCCTGGGTCATATGGGGATGCTCACCAGCTGCCCTGTCCACCAGGTATTGCATTTGGCTGCTCAGAATTCCTGACACCCCTCCACCCAGCTCACCGCTCCCAGCAGGACCCATGGCTAAGATCCTGCCATGGGACAAACCTGGGGAGGACCTGAGGTGGGTGGTCATGGGACAGGTGACAGTGGGGTGAGGGGTGGCCCCCTGGGGACAGAGAGGGACAGCTGGGGTCCTTGAACCATTCACACTCCCTGCCCAACTCCCCCACACATCTGAAGGAACACTTTCCAAGGCCAGGCCCTCACCCTTTGTCCTCAGTCGCCCCTTCTAGAAGGAAGAGCTGAGTCCTGCATGCAAATCATTTCCCTGCTGTACCTGGGCCTCGCTTGCCTGAGGACCCCGTTCTCTGAGACTAAGGCTGCCGCCCTGTTCCGGATCACAGCCCCCTCCCTGGTGGACTCCCCCCTCTTGGAGAGGCAGCTCTCCTTCCCGGTGCTCCTGCCCCTCACCCTGCTCTCACCTTCAGGAAGAACCAGCCGCTCTCCTGCTGCTCTGGCTGGTCTGACCCAGAAATACACTTGGGAGTTTGCTTCCAGCTCTTCCCCACTGTGTACCCAGTGGTTCCACTGAAATCATGTGACCATTTTCCTGAGGTTATTATGTCTCATTTTATTTTGTTTCCCTTTCACTTTCCCTGCCGAAAAAGCAGTTAACACATAGCCTTTTGGGAGTCAACTAAGCACAACTGAGGGTGAGGGTCAGAGGGAGAAAATTGATTCCTGGGCAGGCTTTCGGCATGGCTGGTAGAGGAGAAATACACTGAGTGACCAGAATATTATGATCTCTGAACGCATAATAATCTGGCCACTCAGTGTATATTCTATATAATAAAAGGCTAATTTGGAAATTTTCCCCCAACCAGCTGTTCAACCAGCTGGCAAGTTGGACAACCACCCATGTCCCCTTCCCCTATCCAGGCTGGCTGGACCCCACCTATGCATGAATTCATGTACCAGGCCTCTCTCTGCCTCTCTCTCTCTCTCTCTCTCTCTCTCTCTCTCTCTCTCTCTCTCTCTATCTATATATATATATATATATATATATATATATATATATATATATATATATTAATGACCCAGTGCACAAAATTGATGTACAGAAGGGGGTTCCCTGAGCCCAGCCTGCCCCCTCTCACCACTGCAAGCCCTCAGGGGATGTCCTAATCACGGCTTAGGCCTGCTCCCCCTGGGTCTGTCTGCTGCCTTCTGCAGGAAGTGACTGGGCTGATCAAGGGAAGGCGCCAGCCCATTACCCCACTGCTGCAGCCACTGCCAGCCACCACAGCCACCAAGGTGTTTTCATCAACACGGACTCTGGTCCCTTGAATGTGAAAAAATGACAGCTTTCTTTAGGCATTTCCAAGATGTGTCTTTTATAGGATAGGACACTTCTTTCTTTCTTTCTTTTTTAATACTCACCTGAGAATATGTTTCCATTGATTTTTAGAGAACGTGGAAGAGAGAGGGAGAGACAGAGAGAAACATCAGTGTGAGAGGGACACTTTGATTGGTTGCCTCCTGCATGAGCCCTGACCTGGGCCCCGGCCAGGAAGGAGCCTGTAACCTAGGTGCATGTCCTTGATCAGAACTGAGCCCGGACCCTGCGGTTGACAGGCCAAGCTCTATCCACTGAGCCAAACCAGCTAGGGCAGGATATGACATTTCATAGCCCCTCCAGCATTGGACCTCCCTTTTTTCCTCCAGGAGTGAGGTGGAAAACCTAGATCACCTTCTTGGATTCTTATAACCCAAGTTACCAAGAATACTGCTTAGCCAATGAGTGGTCAGAAAAGGTATTTACGCTCAAACTGGTTTGGCTCAGTGGATAGACCGTCGGCCAGCAGACTGAAGGGTCCCTGGTGTGATTCCTGTTAAGGGCATGTACCTTGGTTGGAGGCACATCCCCAGTGGGGAGTGTACAGGAGGCAGCTGATAGATGTTTCTCTTTCATTGATGTTTTCGACGGTCTATCCCTACCCCTTCTTCTCTGTAAAAAAAAAAAAATAAATCTATAAATTATATATATATATATATATATATATATATATATATATATATGTGTGTGTGTGTGTGTGTGTGTGTGTGTGTGTGTGTGTGTGTGTGTGTATATATATATGTATATATATATATATTTATTTTTATTTTTTTATTTTTATTTTTTTAAAGAAAAGGTATTTCCTCTGCAGCTCATGTGTCAGAGGACCCCTGTGTTGTGTCCACTGGGCTTGGGCGTGTTCCCACCACCAGGGGGAGGGTGGGAGGAGAAATGCTCCCAAGGCCAGTAGCCAGCCCCGCATCTTGGGCACCGGGCTGGGGAGGGGGGTGGCGTGTGGAGACCCCAGACCCTGCAGCGGTGGCCGCCGAGGTCTCTGCATGCCCCAGAGCCCTACAGCCAGCCCCATGTTGTGGGTGCTGGGCTAGGGGGTATGCGGGCACACCTGGGCTGCTTGGCACCAGCGCACGTGCAAGCGGCTGGGGGCAGGGCGGGAATATCCCCCAGCTGCTTGCACATGAGACACCGGGATGTTCCTGCCCCGCCCCCAGCTGCTTGGCACCTGCACCCATAGGCCCGTAGTGGCCTGGGGGCATTCTGGGACCCCTGCCACTCAGGGCCTAAGCGTGGGCCTACAGGCTAGGAGCAGCCTGGGTCCCAAGGATGTTCCTGGGACCCAGGCCGCTTGGTGCCTGCGTATGCAATTTAACCACTATTTTTGTGGGGTTAATATAGCATACTGGCTCCTGACTGGCTTTTGAGCATAGCAGAGGTATGGTCAATTTACATGTTTCTCTTTTATTATATAGGACTAGAGGCCCAGTGCACAAAATTTATGCACTGGCAGGCTAGGGGTATCCCTCAGTCCAGCCTGCACCCTCTCCAATCTAGGAGATCCCTCTCACAATCCAGGACTACTGACTCCCAAACACTTGCCTACCTGCCTGCCTGCCTGCCTGACCCTAACCGCTTCTGCCTGCCAGCCTGATCACCCCCTAACCACTCCCCTGCCAGCTTGATGGATGCCTAACAGCTTCCCTGCTGGCCCAATTGCCCCCAACTGCCCTGCCCTGCTGGCCTGGTTGCCCCTAACTTCCCTCCCCTGCCAGCCACCTTGTGGTGGCCATCTTTTGTCCACATGGGGGCAGCCATCTTTGACCACATGGGGGCAGCCATCTTGTATGTTGGCGTGACAGTCAATTTACATATTATTCTTTTATTAGATAGGATACTGAGTGGACAGATTATTATGAGTTCAGAGATCATAATAATCTGGCCATTCAGTGTGTAGTTGAAGCCCCAGAAAGGAGGAGCAGTGCCAGGGTGTGGTGGGGCGTGAGGCCAAAGATTCCATAATTCTGAGTCATTTGAAGAGGACCCCGAGCCTGTTATGGAAACAGAGCTTCAGTCCCTGGATGACCAAGGGGCATCTTGGGAAGGCCAGCAGGAGGGGCCTGAGGCCTCCTGGGGAAAGTCTTGCAGGGGAGGACCCTCAGGGAGGGCCCCCAACACAGACAAAATAACAATCAAGCTCACTACCCCCCACCCACCACCCACCACCCACCACCCACGGCCCAGCACCCACCATCCTGTGTCTCTGCATCTGCCTACCTAGCTCACGGTGCTGAGCAACAGCCTGCCTGACATGTGTGCCTTGAGAACCATGTGGATACAGAGTTCCTGTGGTTATTTTTTAAAAATATATATATTTTATTGACTTTTTACAGAGAGGAAGAGAGAGGGATAGAGAGCTAGAAATCAATGAGAGAAGGATAGAGAACTAGATCAATGAGAGAGTCATCGATCAGCTGCCTCTTGCACACCCCCTACTGGGGATGTGGGCACAACCAAGGTATTATACATGCCGTTGACTGGAATTGAACCTGGGACCTTTCAGTTCGCAGCTCTATCTACTGAGCCAAACCGGTTTTGGCCAGAGTTCCTGTTTTAATGCCTGTTTATTTCAGTTTATTGAACTAATATTCTATACATGGGCATTTAGGTTTTTTTCTACTTTTTAAAAAATATATATATTTTATTGATTTTTTACAGAGAGGAAGGGAGGGAGATAGAGAGCCAGAAATGTTGATGAGAGAGAAACATCGACCAGCCGCCTCCTGCAAATCCCTTACCTGGGGATGTGCCCGCAGCCAACGTACATGCCATTGACTGGAATCGAACCCGGGATCTTTCAGTCCACAGAACGACGCTCTACCACTGAGCCAAACCGGTTTCGGCTCTACTTCTTTTAATATTATAAATTTGTGCTGTTAAAAAACAAACAAAAAAACAACAACATTGGAACCTGTAAAGAATTTCTGTGAGTTTATTTGAGCTAAACTGTCAACATATGCCAGGAAACAGAACCTCAACGAATTGAGATTATGCTCTGGAGAATGGAGGGTTACATCTATATTTTTAAAAAATATATTTTATTGATTTTTTTACAGAGAAGAAGAGAGAGGGATGAGAGAGAATTATTGATCAGCTGCCTCTTGCACACCCCCCACTGGGGATGTGCCTGCAACCAAGGTACATGCCCTTGACCGGAATCGAACCCGAGACCCTTCAGTCCGCAGACTGACACTCTATCCACTGAGCCAAACCGGTTTCGGTGGTTACATCTATATTTATACATTGCCATCAAAGGAGGGACATAGGTGGGTTACATGAAATTCATTGGTGATAGATTAAAGAGGTGGGATAAACCAAAGCCGGGAAACCTCTGGGATAGGGTAAAAGGTTAAATGATGGACATGAGCTTCTTTTACAGAGATGGGTACAGGATACTTTAATGTAATTAACAGCTGACAATTAACTTGATAACAATAACAATGAGGGAATGTCCCACTGCCATTTGCTGTGTCCTGAGGGGTCTAGGGTCAAAAAGAAGTTACAAATTCCCCAGACATCTCACAGATGTGTTATCTTAGAGGCAAAAAGGCAAATGGGCTCAGTAAAAGATCTAAGTTGATCTTTGTCAGGGAAAATATTGGCCTAGGACGTGACTACCCACCATAACCTGTTTGTAGTTAAATATTTAATTTTCAGACCATCTTTTGTGGTGATTTTAGGTCCCTGAGCTTGTCAGGTTAGCATGTGACTCCTTTAGTCCACAGTGCCAACAGTATATGTACATGAATGTGTTAACATAAAAACATTCTAACCTGTAAAGAATTTTTGTGAGTTTATTTGAGCCAAACTGTCAACAATTGCCGGAAAGCAGGATCTCAAGGGAGTGAGATAATACTCAGGAGAATGGCGGGTTACATTTATATTTATAAATTGCAATCAAAGGAAGAGATATAGGTGAGTTACATGAAATCCATTGGTGATAGACTAGAGAGATGGGAGAAAGTAATGCAATGGGTGTGTGTGTGTGTGTGCGCGCGCGCGCGTGTGTGTGTGTGTGTGTGTGTGTGTGTGTGTGTGTGAGGGAACCCCTGGGATTGGACATAAGGTAAAATGATAGACAGGTGCTTAGGTGGGTGCAGGAACAATGATGATGATAACAATGAAGGAGTTTGTGGTGTCTGTCCTGGAGCATTAGGTTGT